GAGAGGATGTTGTACGGGTATCTCGTCTTGCACTGGGTCTGGAGGCCTGGCGCAGACTTTGGAGCCGAAGCCTACAGCTAGCCAGCTGGCCCAATCGGGGAGGAGCACCAGGGGCTCCTCAAGGTGGCCCCAGGAGGGTGTTCTCAGCCAGGATCCAGGGACAAGGGACTCTTCCTGAAGCAGAAGCAGGGGATGCTAGGCCCGCCAGAGCAGCCCCTACTAGAGGCCGAGAGAGACTCAATGAGGATGAGCCTACAGCTGGGCAAGACCCATGGAAGCTGCTGAAGGAGCAGGAGGAGAGGAAGAAGTGTGTTATTTGTCAGGACCAGAGCAAGACTGTCCTGCTTCTGCCCTGCCGGCACCTCTGCCTATGCCAGGCCTGCACCGAGATCCTCATGCGCCACCCTGTCTACCACCGCAACTGCCCCCTCTGCCGCCGAGGCATCCTGCAGACCCTCAATGTCTACCTCTGATAACTCCCTCCCTGCCTGCCCACTCTCTGTGCTCCACACACTGGGAAAGCATCAACATTTTGCCTCTGGGTTTGGACCTGCGTCTTCTTTGCCCTAACATGACGGCGACTCTGTCAAGCCTCAAGCCATATATCCAGGACATGCAGCTGGAATATTCTGGAAGACTCCAATCTGGGTGGGGCAGGGTAAGAGTTTCTCTGAACCCTGTATGTTAAGGGTGGTGAGTATGTCACTATGCAAGGGCCCTGAGACTATGGTGGGCTCTTCCTCAGTCTGCCCAGGGCCCATCCAGATTCATTGCTTCTGGCTTTTCTGTTGGGGGTCCTTTCTCCCTAGGCCACACCACATCCGTGTCATGTGAGGATTTTGGCGACTCATGGGCCTTGGAGTGATCTTAATTTTTCTATGTTTTGGTTTTTCTTATTTTGGAATGATCTTGAATCTTTATGCTCAGCCAGAGCCTCTGCCCTGGTGGGTCTGGGAGTAGAATCCCGTAGGTGCCCTTAGAGCCACTTCTGCCTGTCATTGTCTTTTAAAGACTCCCAACTTGACCCAGAACCTGGGGTCAGGCGTTTATCCCTGGGCACAGGAGTGCAGCTAAACCTGGCTTTGGGACCATTTACTCTCAGGCACCCCAGTTCCAGGAGGAGCCTCAGAAGGAATAACTAGATTTCTGCTCATTCCTCTCACGCCCCACTCGGCATAGAACATGTCATTCCTCCTGGTCTCTCTCTCTGGCATTGGGGAGGGCATTCTGCACATTTCACTAGGGTCCAAACAAGGGGCTAGGCCTCGGGGCTTGCAGCTCCGTTAGGTCTGTCCGCACAGTTTCTATGAATAAAGTTCTGTTGACAGCTCTAACAGTGTGGTCCTTGCAAGTGCCAGCAGGTGGTCAGCCAGTGTAGCCTCTGGTCTCTCAGACTGGCTAGAGTAAGAAGTGAGCATCTGGATTGCTTAGCTTGGGGGTGGGAACAAGGAGACAGGGTGGCAGGGCTGTGTTGAGGGGAAGCCCGCAGCAAGCATAGCTGCTTCTGCTCTGACCTGTGCTGCATTAAGTCCTTGTGAGCCGAGTGTGAGCTCTCTGCCCCTGTAGCCTGCCTTCCCGTGCTGCCAGTGGTGCCACTCTTTCTGGAGGGCACAGCGCTGCCCAGAGGCCAGTCCTCCCTCCAGTTCCCGGAGGAGCTGCTGCTCATCTGTTTCGTTTTTCAGGACAGGGTTTCTCAGTGGCCCTGGTTGTCCTGGAACTCACTCTGTAGACCAGGCTGGCCTTGAACTCAGAGATCCACCTGCCTCTGCCTCCCGAGTGCTAGAATTAAAGGCGTGCTCCACCATACCCAGTGTGGTGCTTGTCTCTTTTGTGTCTTGGGACAGGGTCTGGTACTGTGATGAGCTAGAGTGTGGGATTTTTTTGCTAGAAGTGTGAGCTGGGGCCTAGAGGCCTACAGGCCTGTCTGGAAGACACAGGAAACCTAGCGCCCTTTGCTACAGCTGCCCTCCCAGGGCCTAAGGAAATTAGGAGCACTCCCCTGTAATTTTATGTTACCCTAGAAGCACAGTGCCTTCTGGGGAGAGGCTGGGTCCTCCTGAAGAAGTGGTTGAGCAATTGGGATTAGCAAACCCTGGATGTTTGCTAGTCATTAGCCTGAGCCTGCTAAACTGAGTGTCACAGGAGGTAAGCCCTCAGGGGGCCTGTGGCTAGCTTCAATTTAATGGCTTGGCCCACCCAGGCTGTGCCCAGCATAGTGGAGACAGTTCTCCACCTCCATCCCTGAATTGAAGGCCTTGAAACAACCCCCTCACTCCCTCCACCCCCTGCTGAGCAAGGAGCAGCCTGGCTCCTTCCAGTCTTTGTTTAATGTGAAGGATAAACATTTTATTAGGGAAGATAAACTTTCTGAGCTGGGGGCCAAGGACCTCCTTTTCTTCCACCCCCATCTGAAATTCTTTCTGCAGACCTTAAAACCCTTTTCCCCCCTTAACAATCTTAGAAGTCCAAACCTTAAATCGATGTTGCAGCCTGGAGCTTGGTCGCCCCCTTGTGGTCATCCCCACAAACTACTTACCCCAGGGTGGGGGTGACAGCAATAGCTTGCTAAGAAAGCAAGTATCTTTACCGTTATCTGGCTCACGGCAAGGGCAGCGGTGATTGAAAGTCCCTGACTTTTTTTGTTTCTTAGACCAGACAGCGGCCACTCCCACTTAGTTTGGCATGTCTGAATTAGAAAAACGTGTCCCTTTTCCTGGGTGGCCATAGCCCCAAATCAGGAGGGCAATCCCCTGATACCTATATAACTAGGTGGCAGCTCAAGCTCCATGGAGCCAATTATCCTAGGTCTGCTTGCTGTATCTCTGCCTCATGGCTCCATCCCACTCAGGAACCCTTTCTGCTGTGGATCTTTGAAGAAAGGCAGAAGCCAGTGGGAGGTTTTTGAGGTTTATTGAGTGACCTCTGAGAAAAAGACCAGCCCTAGGAGCAGGAGAGATGGCGTCAAGGACCTAGAGGGGGCACAGGACTAAGAAGGAGCATCCCACCTTGGAGTCCTGGGCTAGGGCAGCCAGGAACCCACAGCCGCCAGCACAGCACACTCTAAAGTCCTGGGCAGTAACCCAGCCACTGTTTCAGGCTGCCTGTCTTGACCTCAGACAGCCTCTGTCTCCATTCCTTGCCAGCAGTGGGACAGGAGGTGGCTCTCTGTCTTCCCTAGTCATTCACAATATTCCAGGGGGCCAGCCCTCCTGGTATGTGCCTGTCAAGTGTCACACCCTTCTCTAGGAGCAAGTGCCAGCTCCTGGTTCACTGTACATTAGGCGAAGACTGGGGAGCTGTGCCAGTCAGAATAGACGAGAAATCCAGAGAAGGTGCTGTCTGTCTTGATGCTGGCATAGATGCCAATGTAATCACCCACGCCCACCTGCACCCACACCTGGTCCTCAGGTTCCAGCCTTACCATAGCACCCCCTGAGAGTGAGGCTGGCTTGGGCCACCCCCCGAAAAACTGGAAGAAAGAGGCGATGGACTCGCCATTTTTGACAAGATCGAACTGCAAGCTGGCCCGGTAGACGGTGGCGTGGACGGCAAAGTAGTAGACACCAGGCACTTGGCAGGTGAACTTGCCCGTAGTGGCATCGTAGTGTCCCTGCTCATTCAGCAGCACGCGGTCGAAGGGTAGCGGTGCGTCCGCTGGTGGAGGCACTCGGCTCTCAGAGCGCTTGGCACTGAAGGCTGATCGCGGGGGCACGGAGCACTCCCCCGCAGGTCCGGTAGCCCCCACGGGACCTGCCTCTCCACGCGGTCCGGGCTCCCCACGCGGCCCAGGCAGTCCTGGGGGCGAAGGGGCGAAGGGGAGAAATTAGGAGCCGCAGCAGAGAGCAGGAGGATGACTATTGACCATTCCCAAGCCTCCCAGCCTCCCTAGCTATTGTCCCCTGCAGGGAGCAGATCTGAAGTGCTGAGTTGAGGGATCTAGGCTTTCTGATTCCCTGGGGTTGACTCACCCTCTCCACTCACAGCCCACCTCGCCCCACCCCAGCCGGCGAGAATGGAGGGGGAGTAGCGCCCCCTGGAGGGATCCCTGAGCCCCAGAGGATACACGAGAGCAGCCGCGGTGCTCGCTAGGAGGTCCCCATGGACTTCGGCGAAGACTTTCTTACCCGGCCTCCCGCCCTCGCCTTTCTCGCCCGGAGCTCCGGGCGCACCGTCGCGGCCATCACGACCGTCGCGGCCAGGCAGGCCTTGGCTGCCGTGGTGGCCTGGTGTGCCTGGAAGGCCGGGCTGCCCGGGACACAGGCTGGGGATCTTGTTGTCATCCAGTGGAGGAGAGCCTGACACCAGCCCCAGAAGCAGCAGGGCAAGAAGTGGCCTCATGGTGATGACCCCGGAGGCCCAGACGCCAGGATCCTCTTGTAGTCTGTGGGCTGGGCAGGACCAGAGTCGGAACCCAGAATCTTGGGACCCACCTCGTGCCCCACCCAGGTGGAACCCAGCAGGTCTCCGCTCCACAAACATGCCTTTGGGGCTGAGCGTAGTGTGACGGGATGAAGAGGTGGGTGCCCCAGACCAAGAACTGGGAGGGCATAGGAAAGGAAAGGAAAGACAAGCCCTCCCTACCCGGTCCCCTAGCTGGCGCCCAGGCTTTCCCACAATCCCCTCCCCCACCCACCCTCCTCCTCTGCCAGACTCACCCCTCCCCGCTCTCCAGCTCCCCCAGCTGCTGTCTCTGAATGACTTCCTCAGACCCTCCAGCTGGCCCTGCTCCCACTCCTACCCCAACCAGGCAGCCCTTGCCCTTGCTGACTGTTCCCAGCTTCTGGTTGCTCCTTGCCGGCTCCACAGCGCTCCTCCCAAACTCCTGGAGGAAACCAGTTGTTCAGGGGCCAAGAGCTTCGGGTCTGGGAAATAGCAGGGAAATAACTCGTGGTGTCGCCCGGCGGCTGGCCAAAGTTGCGGGGGTGTAGGGGGTGTGGAGAAGGGAGGAGGAGGAGAGAGACTTGAGCCTGCATTACACAGAGGTTGAACTGTCAGACACACTTGGGGCTCCAGTTCCCAGGAGCTGGAGGGAGGGAGGGAGGGAAGAAGCGAGGGATGGGGTAGTGATAGAGACCAAAGTCAAGACTAGTGTGTGGGGGTGGGGCGGGGAGTGTGTGGAGAACTGGATCAGCAGAGCCCAGGGTGAAGAATTCTAAAAGCAGAGAGCCAGTTGGACCCCCAGGCATAGAATAGGGTACAACCACACCAGTAGGCACTCAGTACAGTTTTGTTGACTAAATGGAAAAGCTGAAGGTCTGGTGATCTTAAATTTTCAAATGGAAAGGGGGAAAGCAGAAGATAGGGAGTCAGGGTCAGAGACTTGGACAGGAAATCTCTGGGCTGTCCAACGGCACAGTACCCGGCCTGGCACTGCCTAGGGCTGTCGTGGTAAGAAAGAGTGCAGCAGAGGTACAGGGAAGATGGGATAGTCCCATTAGCCCTGGGAAGGATCAGCATTGGAACCAGTCCTTCTCCCTGGGGAGCACCAGAGAGGATGGGGAGAGTCTCATGGCCAGGTCACTTCCCTCTGTTTTCTGCCTGCCCTGCCCGCCCATATAGAGATAGAGGAGGATGGGCAGGCAAAGGGTAGGAGCTGGCTTCAGGTCACGGCTGGGAACAAGCTTCCAGGCTAGCTGCCTCAGGCAGCCTGTTGCAGTTGAAGGGCCAGGGGGTGCCCAGTAGTGCCAGGCTAGACTGGCACTGTTGCTCTGCCTCCTGGCAGACAGAGCGGCATGGGGGTAAGACAGTGCCCAGTGGGGTACAGTGAGGTACGAGCAGCCCGCAAAGGAACCTCCGGAAATTCTGGTAGCAGGGTAGACTTGTCAGACTCTGTGGGAGGGAGAGCAGACCTCAGGTGTCTAGTCCCCATGCAGCCACGCCTTCCTATGGCCTCCCTCCTCTGTCCCAGCACCTTGTAGCCTCTGAGGATGTCCACCACCTCCGATTGGGTGCCCAGGCCCACCCAGATGTTGGGGAATGCTGTGGTATTGTAGCTTAGTCCAAGGCACATCTCCACTTGGACAGGTTCACAGGCCGGTTCTGTAAAGGGGAGGGGCTGGGTCACTGTGGGGAATGACACATTGCCTGACTCTGGGCCCTTATTTCCCATGGGTCATATGGACTTCTGCTGAATATCTCAAGGGATACCACAGAACTGTTTCACACAATCCAAGGAGCCCTGCTGTTTTCCAGAGCCTACACTTGCCAGCCTGTGCATCATGTAGGCCCCTCTGATCTTAGGGAGTGTGGAGTACCCGCTGGGGACCACTTCTGTCATGTGATCTATTAAGCAGGCTGTGGGGAGGGACTCTGCGAGTGACAAGGTAGATAAGTCTCAACACCCCACCACTGACTCCTACATTCCATGTCCCTTTCAGGTGACATTAGTGTACAGTGCCAACACGGGCTGAAAGTCCCTCCAAGACTCTGTAAAGTGGTCCCAAGGTGAGGGGAAAGGGGCCCAGGCATGAACTTATCAAAGGGGAAGGAAAGGGAGGTGAGGAGAGTATGGTAGGAACCCAGCCTGTTGTGGTCAGCAGGACTTGCTCAGGGTAAGGCTCCTTACCTGTTTGCGGGAACAAGTGACTGCTGCAATTGTTGTCATTGCTGTCATTTGCACAGTCTCTCCATAAGTCACACATCCATTGCAGATCCCAACATCCACCATCCTGGCTGAACTCTCTGGGCCCACAAGGGTCTGTGGGCATAGGGGCATGATAGTGCCTGTACCCACTGCCCTCTAGGGTACCCTTGGATGTTCCATGGACAAGCTTCTGTTGCCCACACCCACCTGCCCAGGGGCACCTACTCTCTGAAGTATTGATGGCCTGGTAGGTGGCTAAGAAGCCCCCACTGCTGATACCAAGATCCGTCTTAAAGATTACAGCCAGCTGGTGCTGTGAGGAGATGAGGGGGGCTGGTGGCTTAGCGCCACAGAACCTGGGCAGAGCAGAAACATATCCTGACACAGGCCACTGCCCAGCCCTGGGGGCTCTGAGCTGGGCTCTTGGCCATGCCAGGAGCGATGGGGAACAAGATTGCTGATTCATGGAGCTTAGGGTCTGGGGAAGGAGACATGCTATTTGTTGCAGAAAGTATGAGATGGGGAGAGTCAGGGAAGATAGGGGAAGGCAAAGGCCCTACAGATGGGAAGAGTAGGGCAGGAAAGCACATGCTGTTTCAGGATACCTGTAAAGAGATCTTTAGTTTATAGACAGTGAAGCTGGGGACTCACTTGAGCCTAGTGTAGGGAGCCCCGCCTGCCAGATGGGGCATGGGTTGCCCTGGTTGGTACCTGCCCAGGAAGCTGAAGGCCCTGGAACTGCTGGCCTCATACACTTCCACGTAGTCAAACTTGCACTCAGCCTGTGCTTCCAGGCTGAAGTTATGGAACTGTAGTTCTATGCCGTATTCCATGGGCACTGAGATGTACCAGGTGCAAAGCTGGGGAGGGTATATGAGAGATAACTCACAGGAACCTTCTCCTGCCTCAGCCTGGTCTTCTATGCACAGAGGCAGGGCATACAAGGCAGGGTGTGAGTGGCTGTTGTCTACCTCATGTTCCATCATTGGTGCATCTTAAAATAGGAATAGTCAATCAGACATGGTGGCTTACACCTATAATTCCAGTGCTTAGGAGCAGAGTTCAAGGTCAGCCCCAGCTATATGTCAAGTTCCAAAGCAGCTTCCTGAGCTACATACAGAGACTGTCTCAAAAAGCTAAGGACCAAAAAACAAAAGCAAAAACAAAACAAAACAAAAAACCAAAAACCAACCAACCAAAACAAAACAACAACAAAAAAGCCAAGGACCAGGGATATAGTCCAGTGGTAAAGAACTTATCTGTCATGCACAAGATCCTGGGGTTGCTCCTCAGCATGGGAAAACAAAAAACAGCCCAGCAGGCGTGGGACTGGGGTGAAGGTACTGGGGTGCACACCTTTATTTTCAGGCAGAGGCACGTGGATCTCTGTGAGTTCCAGGCCAGTCAGGGCTACATAGTGAGATCCTGTCTCAAAACAAACAAAACCCCAGGCCTGGCATGGTGGCTCATACCTATAATCCAAGCACTTGGAAGGGCTAGGGCAGGAGGATTCTCACCAGTTACAAGATCAGCATGGGTTACAGAGTGAGACCTTGTCTATAGATAAATAAATGCCCCTTCAAACTGTCTGGTCTTAGAGATAGATATGTTTACCCAGCATGGAAATATCTGGGTATACAGTTGGTGCTTAACAATGTTTTCTTCTGGCCAGCATGAACTGATTTTACTCAGGCATATTGTTCCCAGGCACACAAACCTAAGAACCCTGGTGTCTCATGAGTGCTATATCATTTCCAGAAGGCACTGCACTTACCTGTTGGTGAGGGTAGTGCTGTGGGTAGTTGGGAGTAGAGAACACCCCATGGAGCCCAGTCAGATTTCCTCCACACCCTGAAGAGAAGCCAAATGCACATGAGTGGTCAGGCAAGAGAATTCTGGGTCAGAGTAAGGGAGCCCAAACTAGAACAGAAGTCTAAAGATGTGCTTCCCTGTCCCTAGCTGGGCCCATACCCAAGTTCTTGGCACTGCAGTTGGCCTCGTCACTGCCATCGGCACAGTTGGTAATGCCATCACATACTAAGTCATGCTTCAGGCAGAGAAGCTCATCACAGCGGAACTCATTTTGGGCACAGCTCCCTGGAAAAGGGCACAAACCATCTAGAGTCACAATCCCCCAGAGTTTCCGTCCCCTTTGCCAGTGCTGGGATAGCTGACAGGGAGGCTGCTGGGGACATGATGGGAAGTCACTCACAATGCCCCGGGGCTACAGCTTGGTACCAGGCTTGGAAACCAGACCCTTCCACATCATCATCAGAGACGAAGGACACTCGGAGGTGGCTGGCATTGGTGTTTAGTGTGGCAGGAGGTGTTTTACCACACACCCTGTAAAAAATCCAGGTTAGGAGTGATAAAGGCTCTGAACTCAGGTAAGAAATAGATCAGAGTCTAGCAGTGGTGGCACACACCTTTAATCCCAGCACTTAGGAGGCAGAGGCAGGTGGATCTTAGTGCGTTTAAGGCCAGGAGTTCTAGGACAGTCAGGACTGTTGCACAGAGACACCCTGTCTTGGATTCCCCTCCCCCACAAAAAAAAGAAAGAAAAAGGAAGGGACTGGAGAGGGGAAGTGACTTTGCCTAGGCCACAGGACAACAAGGTGCTGGCAGAAGGGGTCAGAGATCAGTTCTGTTTGTTTCCATCTAGATTTTTGCTTCTGCTTCCTCTTTCTCCACCCTTCAGACAAGTGGGATCCCCTGGAAGCAGAGGGACCCACCTGAGGAGAGAGCCTGAAGGCTCTGGGGCAATTTCCAAGCGATCAAAAAGACAGGCAGGCACACCTTCTATGCTGAGGGCTTGAATCTTGAGCTGTATAGTCTGGCCTGTGGCTACCTGGATATGCCAGACACAGTGGCTGTGGGGTGGGTAAAGGTCTGGGTAGTTGGGGCTGCTGAAGAAACCCCTTGGACCATGAAGGAGGCCTCCACAGGCTGCAGATGATGGAGGATAGGGTTCAGAGGTCAATAGGAGAGAGAGGACTTTCCCCCACTCCCAGTGTTCCTCTTCCAGGCTTTTCCTCCCCACTGCCACCTTGGGCCTTCTCCAGAAGAATGCCCTTAGAACTCACTGATCTGGTGTGTAGGGCTCATGGCCACCTCCTGCTGCTGTGTGGTTGCTGGAGAGGTGGTGGTGGTGGTAGTCCTGGCATTAGGGGTGGTGCTAGAAATGCCACCCTTGGGGGCGAGGCCTCGAGTGGGCAGTGGGCTCTGGGTTGTCCTGGGGAGGGATGTAGCCTGAAATTCTGGGGGCAGGAGGATAGAGAAGTGTTATTTAGAGGAGCAGGTCCCTGGAGGTTGATAGAACAGTTCATGAACTCTCCATATAAAGTCCTCCCAAGGACTTACGAGCCAGGATGATAGCCACCAGTAGCCCCAGCAGCAGGACCAGAAGGCCACTGAGCAGCAGGATACAGAGCCAGGAGAAATGGCAGTCTGGTTGTAGCCTTCGGAGATGCTGGGCTGTGGGAAGAACACAGTGGGCTTTTCAGAGGCACTCCTACATGAGATACCCCTCACACCTTGGGCTTCCTTCTATGCCTGACCAACCCCTGAGATAGTTACCATGCCAGGGAGCTTTGAGGCTGCTGCTGGCATTTTTCTGTAAGGCTGGTGCAGGGCAAGAAGGCCCTGCTTCAGGATCAAAAGCAGGATTGCAGAACTCTGTCTGGAATGGAAGGCAGAGGCTTACGGGCTGTGGCAGGTAGGTTCACTGGGGGCATGGGATCTTGGGAGGGGGGTTCCATGTGAGCCTTACCTTGCTCAGCTCATTTGCCTCTGGACAGAGGATGACATCGGAATAGTCCTTCATGGCTTAAGATTCTGCATGGCTTTCTGGAGATCCTGTGATAGCCCAAGACCCGTGAGGGTCCACTCCCTCGTCACAAGCCACCTATCAAAGAAGCAGCCTTTACTCTTGAAGGGGCAAGGCTGTCAGGAGAGACCAGTTCTCTGGTTGCCTTTGGCAGAATGGTTGGGGCTCCAGGCTACTCTGTCTCCGTGTGGGAGGGAACTGATGCGAGAAGGAATTCACAAAAGGCACGGAATGGTCCTTAATCCAACTCAGCTGAGGATGCTGGGGTCAAGACCCTGGCACTGAACAGCAGGCCTTAAAGGCACAGTGGCTGTGAGCACCAACAGAGAAAGCTAGGTATTCTGTGGGATGTGACTAGGGGGTCACCAGGCCCCTCCCCTCACCCAGGGTATTGCAGGAGCTCCTGGGGAGCTGGGGGCTGGAGAACATGACTTCCGTGCAGGCATTGAAGCCCCAGGTGAAGAGAGACAGAGACAGGGAGCAAGTGCTGGGGTAGAGGTGGGCAGCTTTCTAAAGATCACAGACAAGGCCAGCAGCCCACTACTTGGCCCCATCTGAGTGGCAGAGTTACTAGCTAACCCTGAACTGTTGGAAGAAGCTGCTACTCTACCCTGGCTTTTTGGTTTGTGTTTTTTGTTTGTTTTTCTTTTCTTCTTCGTCTTCTTTTTTTTTTAATATTTAACTTTATTTTATGTGTGTTGGTATGAAGGTGTCAGATCCCCTGGAACTGGAGTTACAGACAGGTGTGAGTTAACATGTGTGTGCTGGGAATTGAACCCAGGTTCTCTAGAAGAGCAGTCAGTGCTCTTAACTTTGAGCCATCTCTCCAGCCCCCCTTCCCCCCTTTTTGGTATTTCTTTCTTTTTTTTTCTTATAAAGGAAAACATTTAATTGGGTGTCTTACAGTTTTATAGGTTCAGTCCATTATCATCCTGGCAGGATATGGCAGCATACAGGAAGACATGGTGCTGGAGAAGAAGCTACATCGTGATCCCGAGGGCAACAGGAAGTGGTCTGAGACACTGGGCATGGCTTGAGTATATATGAGATCTCAAAGCCCACCCTCACAGTGATACACTTCCTTCAACAAGGTCATACCTTCTCCAACAAAACCACACCTCCTAACAGTGGCACGCCCCATGAGCTTGTGGGGGGCCAATTACATTCAAACTACCACACTCCCTTACTCTCTTTTTCTTTCTTTCTTTCTTTTTTTTGCATTATCATCTTTTATAAGCCCATGAGAAAGTCTAATAGAATTAAAGAACTTGGGTCTTTATTACACATTGCTCTTATCAATACTTACGCTGTGCCATGTTTAAGCAGCACACATCACACAATGTGTCTGTCTAATGGTTTAGTCATGGTTGCTAACTTGTCCAAAAGCTCCCAATGTGGTTTGGAGATTAAAAGTCCCCTGCTGGGCTGTGTGTTGAAGACTTGACTACTGATGCACCAGTGCCCAGAGGTGGAACTTTGGGGAAGGGGCCAATGGGCCTTTAACTTACTCATTTGATGAATTCATAATGGAAGGTGCTATTGGCTAGTGGATACTGTGGAAGGCAGATCCTAGCTAGAGGAAGTGGATCACTAGACAAGGGTAAGCCTTGTCTACCTTGTCTCCAGTCCTTTCTTGTCGGTCTCTTTGGGCTTCAGGGCTGCCATGAGATCGTCACCGGCCTCTGCCGCACATTCCCACGTCTGTGGTATTCTGTCTCGTTTCTGGTGAAAAGCAGTGGAGCTAGCTGACCACAGACCTTTGAACTGTGATCCTTTTCCATTGTTCCTCTCAGGTACTTGTCACGGTGACAAAATGTCTAACACGGTTACTTATTGTCATGCATGACACTTGCATGCCTTAACGGTAGTTTATGATTTTGAATTTCTTGGGGACTCAGTCATAATCACTGGCCATGAGAATCTGCTGGAGCTTATTATCACACCAGCATTGCTATTACCAGCAGCATTCTGAGAAAGATGCCAACTTCGTCTATGGAATTCAGGTCCTCTAAGATGCTCTCTTTCATTGTGGCTTCCAGAGGGGCAGAAAGTCACAGGTAGAATCCAAACACACAAGCAGCTGCTTCTAAAAGGGAGCACACCGTCCCTTCAAGGAAAGGTATTTCTTTTTTTTTTTTTATTAGTTTATTTTTTACATCTCAGTCCCAGTTCCCCAACCCTTCTCTCCTCCTGTCCCTCTCCCCCCACCTCCCATCTGCTTCTCAGAGATGGTAATGTACCTCCCCTAGGAAGTCAACTAAGTCTGTCCTATCACCTGATTGAGGTAGGACCAAGGCTCTCCTCACCATGCCTAGGCTGAGCAAGGCATCTCTCCCTATAGAATGGGCTCCACTAAGTCAGTCTGAGCATTAGAGTTAGGTCTTGGACCCACTGCCAGTGGCCTCATCTATTGTCCCACTCACACCATTGTCACCTATATTCAGGGAGTCTAGTTTGGTCTTATGCAGGTTCCCCATTCCTCAGTCCTGAGTCAGTGATCTCTCACTAGCTCAGGTCAGCTGATTCTGTGGGTTTCCCCATCATGGTCTTGACTCCTTTGTTCATATTATTGCTCCTCCCTCACTTTGATTGTACTCCAGGAGCTTGGCCCATTGGTTAGTTCTGGATTTCTGCATCTGCTTCCATCTGTTTCTGGAAGAGGGTTCAAGCTTCTCCGTTGTGGGGCATCTTTTACTTTATGTCTGGTATCCACTTATGAGTAAGTATATACTCTATTTGTCTTTCTGGACCCCCCCCTTTAAAATTTTCTTTTTATTTAGTTTGTATACAGTGTTCTGCCTGCACGGCAGAAGAGGGAACACGATCTCATTACAGATGGTTGTCAGCCACCATGTGGTTGCTGACAATTGAACTCAGGACCTCTGGAAGAGGAGCCAGTACTCTTAACCTCTGAGCCATCTCTCCAGCCTCTGTTTTTTTTTTTTTTTTGTATTTGTTTATTTATTTTTTTTAATAATCTTGGCTGTCCTGGAACTCTCCTTGTAGAGTAGGTTGGCCTCAAACTCACAGAGATCTGCCTGCCTCTGTAACCTTGCCCCCACCCCCAAGTACTGGAACTAAAGGTGAGAGTCACCATACTTGGCTATTCTAAACTCTATGGCTAGGGATACAGTTCAGTGTGGTCCAACCAGAATGGGCAAAGACTTGTGGCCAAAGGATACCTTCAAGACACTTGTGAGGTGGTCACATATTGCCTGGGTTGATATATATAATGTTGTGTGTGTGTGAATGTGTGTGTTATGCTCATGCATGTGTATATGGAGGCTAGAAGTTGGTGTCAGTATCTTCCTTGGACACACACACACACACACACACACACACACACACACACACACGATTATATATAGAGGCAAGGTCTCTCATTTGAACCCAGAGCTTGCTTGATTCTGCTTGTCTAGTCAGCCAGCCTACTCCAGGGATTCCAGATGGGGTTACTGTGCCTCACTGGCACTCACAGCCTTTGCATGAGTGGCAAGTGCTTTACCCACGAAGCCATTTCCTCAAAAGGACTTGGAGCTCCTGAGCCTCCTGTCTCTGTTCCCCAGTGCTGTGTGTGTGTACCAGCACGTGGTACCTCAGTGGAGGGAAGGGAGTAGGGGGTGTTGGACCTTCATGCACTCTGGGTCAGCACTCCACCGACAGAACTTCAGCTCCAGCTCTATTTTTGTTGTACTATTGTTATTTTGCTTTGAGACAGGGTCTCTCTATGTTGAAGCTACTCTCAAACTTGGAGTTATTCTTTTGCCTCAGTCTCCCTGCTGTTGTCAGTGTGTTTTCACACCTGGTTGGGAAAGGCCCCTGTTATATCCATTGTCTGTGTTATAAAAATGAGGGAAGAAGCCATTGCACAGAAAGCAAGGCATGAGACTGAGGGGTTGTCTCCCCACATCTGGGTCCCCAAGCCTGCAGGAGGAAGGGCAGGATGGGAGAGGGTGCCTGACATTGTAGGCAGAAGTCTAACTGTTGGTTTTGGTTGTTGTCATGGGATAGAAGGCCTATACTACAAAGGAGTGTCCTATCCCTGTCTGGCACAGCTGTTCCAGGGAGAAAGACAGGAGCCTGCCTGTCTGTCTTGTTTCTTTGCAGTGCTGGCCCAGTCTGAGAGTCTGGAAACAACTTCATGTTCCCAGCTACTACTTGTAGAAATGTCTATAATATTTTAGGCCCTGGGCTAGAGGTCTTACATACTGTTTTCTCTCATGTCATACATAACTCAGTGAGGTACCATAACCATTTTACAAAAGATGCTACTAAGGCTATGAGATGTCACACAGCTAAAAAGATAAAGAGACTAAAAGAGCTAAAACTGAGCATGCGTTCTTTATGTATACAACTTTACTCCAGAGGGGGCCAAGCTGTGTTAGGAGAGTGGAAGGGTCAGATGGATCTGTGAACCTAAGATACTGTCCCTGCACTCAGGGAAGGAGTCTTTCTCTGTATGCCCTCTCAGGGGCCTGGCTGCTTCTGTTTAGACCTCAAGCCTCTTCCTGGACCCTGTATGTGGAGTCCAGCAGCCCTGGTCTTTAGGGAAGGCCAGTTTTGGTAGCTTCAGGGGCAAGTGTCTTGAAGAGGCTATGATACGTAACCTTTGGCTGTAAGTCTTTGCTCATTCTGGTTGGATCACACTGAGCCATATCTCTAGCCATGGAGAGTTTGGAATAGCCAAGTATGGTGGCTCACATCTTTAATCCCAGCACTTGGGAGGCAGGAGAAGGCAGATCTTTGTGAGGTTTGGAGCCAGCCTGGTCTACATAGTGAGTTGGAGAGAGAGGAGAGGAGAGAGAGATGGGGGAGGGAGGGAGAGAGGAAGGGAGGGAGGGAGGGAGGGAGGGAGAGAGAGAGAGAGAGAGAGATAGAGAGAGAAAGAAGAAGAAGAAAAGAAGAAGAAGAAGAAGAAGAAGAAGAAGAAGAAGAAGAAGAAGAAGAAGAAGAAGAAGGAGAAGAAGAGAGCATATCAGAGCCTAGGGACTGACCTG